GCGCCCCCCCCCCCCCCCCTGAGATTACCTGCGGTTTTCTAATACAACTGGCATTCTAGGCGTGATTCTCTAGAGCAAAACCATGCTGGGCTTAACAGCTTGGTTTTATAAAAACCAACGAAAGTACATAACTGATTAGTATTTGTAACTTGTAAAGCATTATTGCGTTCCTGTTTTTCCTTTCGTAGGTTTTAAGTGACTCAGATGGCAGTCAAAGGGCACTTGAAGCTTTACATAATTTTTGGTGGCAAGGTAAGATCAGAAATCCCTTGCACCTCTTTACAACTGAAGATAGCGGTGGGTTCAGACATTTTGGACAGGCACCCTCTCCCTAGGATCCGCCATTGATAAGCTCCCATATAGGGTGTGCCGCCGAGGCCTTCAACCCCTGACCCTGTTTAAAACAAAAATTGTAAGGCAAGAGACCTAATTTGATGACCATGATTCATTTCTGTGTTGGTAATTGAGGAGTGGTTTTAGAGGATAAAAAACTGGTACGATCCACCTTAAGTTATCTTTTCATTTTTTCTTACAGAAAGAAGTCAACCAATTGACTGCTCATGGGATTTGGTAGCGCTGGCTCATAATTTCACCCTTCATGCTTTCCCAGCATTCGTTCAGGGCCTTGAAGAAGCTGGCTGGGTAACCTCGCGAACACATTTGGGCCCTGATGAGTGGCGCGCTGTTTGGAATGTTAAGGGACTGGAAATCAAGAAAAGTATTTAAAAGTTTCGGTCAGAGCTGCCTTTTAAAAATGCGAGCTAGAAGTTGAGAAGACCTTAGTAAAGTGCCTTGAAATATTAAAAATATTTTATTTGTAAATAGTTAGTAGAACATTCAATGATTAAAAGAGTTGTCATGTATTGGAATTATTAGCATGTTAATTGTGTTTCTTTTCTTTTCGTATGGTTTTTGCCAGTCGTTAGCATCTTTAGCGAAACAGTGTGTGTTTGTCCACCTCCGTCTCCCCTCCCTTACTCCGTATTTACAATTCCTGGTAACTGCCTTCAGTTGTTTGCCAAGCATAGCCTCCCAATTACAATACTCGGCTAACTCAGCAGTCGAGACGCGACGGCAAGGAGAACGTCAAAAAAGCAGTAAGTTAAAGAAACCATACAACAACTCTGCACGTGTATCACACTCTTTGGTACATATCTTTGCTAACTCTGCAGGACAAAGAACGAAATTCCTTGATGGAAAGCTTTATGGGGGACGCAAACACATCACGACGATTTTTCTATCTCTTCTTTCTTTTGGGTGCGCTTTCCAAGATTTCAACTCAATGAAAAATCACTTTTACTTTTGACTTTTTAAGCTATTGTAGTTGGAATAATCGCGACGACATTTGAAAAAAAGGTAATTGAACTTAGCCTCTCGTCTGTTAGCCTGCTCAGGTCATTGGCGCAGCAAACGAAACAAATGTAAAACGAAATGGAAAAAGCCAATAAGGAAAGTCAGAGGAACAGAATCACCTGCAGCCCATCGCATATTTAGCTCTCTGGGCATGGACCGCCTAATTATTGCCATATCAGTGGCATCCAATTCAGAGAAAAACCTCTTCCCCTTGTATAATGAATGACACTAATCGCCCCGTTTAATTTTTTTTTTTTTGGAAATCTTAAATGGGCGTAAGAAAAAAACGGGGGGCGCGAGGGAGACACGCGTGTTCTTTCTTGCGTTCTCTCTTGCGCCAGGAGCCTATTTTATTACCCATCACTTTTAAGCGAGTCAAGTGTTCAAATCTTCTGCTTTGTATAATGGGCTCCTGCAGGAGGGCTCCTGCCTCCTGATAATGATCAACTCCCCCTCCCCCTCCTCCCGGCCAGGTCACTGCACATTGCATTGCTTCTTTTAGTACATTATTTTTTATACACCCGGGGAAAGTGTGTAACCCTTAAGCAACGATCAGGGCAGTTCACAAAACTCTTCGATGGCGTGACTCGACTCCACCCACCCTCCACACCTGCTCCACCCTTTTTTCCAACAATCCTTTGCGCGAGAAGAACTTCGTTCCAGGCCACCTCGGCGAAATTGTTGCATTTGTTTTGAAAACAAAATGGCGGTTTGGGGAGTGTATCAATATTAAATTCATGAAATCTCAAGGTAGATTGACGTTTTACAAAGATGTCATCTTTGTTTCCCAGAAGTAGAACCTGAAGGTAACAAGGTGGGCTGAAGATCGGTGAGAAATGAGCTTAGGTACCGGTGCATGGCTGAAAGCCTCTGGATCGCGTGGGATCAGAAAGCACCAGGGAGCCGTCAATGTGGCAAAACGCCGACTATCTACAAGAAACAGATCTAAAGTGGAGAGACTTAGAGAGTACCTAAACGATCTTCATCTAGAAGAGATAGAAACTGCAGCCACAGGTCGTAAAGCCTGTGGAAAGGTTCCAAGATTGCAAGTCGAGTTGCGCGATATTCAAGTCCAAGAAGGAAGTAGCAGTGCTGGGATCTTAGTTCGAAATGATGATGATCCGATTGTAGGAGCTAATCCGATTATTAAGAGAAAAGCTGGTGGAAAGCACAGGAAAATTAGATCAGCGATAAAGACAGTGAACTTTGATAGTTCTGTTCCAAGTGAAGATAAAAAATCACCAACCTCAGGGATTTGTTTCCAAACCAACAAACACGCACAGATTTCTAAGGGCTCGCTGGACGAAGTATACCCTTCAGACATTTCACAGTCTTCTAGCTGTACAGGAAAAGGAGACAAGTTTCTCTCATCTTTATCATCAGGTCATATGCGCAGGCCAAAACGAAAATCTGACAGAACAATTAAGCATGCGTTTGTTCCTTTAATAGATTTCAATGGAACAAGAGATCAGAATGTGTGTGATGACAGTAACAGAACTCTTGATATTAATGACAATGACAATGATAATGTTGATTCAGATATTTCTTGTGATAATGATGATGACAATTTGATGGACAGAGATGAATTTTCACTCTCCCCACCCAACAGTCCACTGTATGACATGCCCCCACCCTCTACCCCTGCTCAGAAAAAGGCAAGAAGAGAAAAGCGGAGCATCCAGTTAGAAAGATGGCGGAAATATGAGGCATCAAAGTCTCGACAAGAAAGATACCAGAGACGCATGCAGGAATCGGCCAAAACAGTTCATCAAAATGACTTAGCACAAGACTCAAAGCGGGTAAAGTGGAGTGTTAATTTGGTGCAGACAGTCTACATTGATGATAAAAAACAATAATACAAAATATCAGTATTACTAGTATTGCATGTTCTGTTCAGGGTGCCAGGTACAATACCTCCTGGGTGATGGTCAATAGTGAGGGCCCAGCTGTTAGGGTAAAATTTGGACAAGTGACATGGACTTGAGAAACAGGGACGTAAGACTAGATGAAAAGTCAACAAATGACATAAAGATGAGTCTTATACGGGCAGGGACATGGCCTACTCCACAAAATGTGGAATGGCCATATTTGAAATTCAGACTAGGGATATATGTACCCCCCCCCCCTACCACCCCAAGGGGACCTCAATACTGTACCACCCACTCTTGAGAGAGAGGACTTTAACCTAATGTTAACCTTGTTACTAAGCAACACACTGTGTTACAAAGAATTCTGGAAGCAGTGGTCCCCAGGGCTGTCACGAAGAATTCAAGTGTGCAGGTAAAATAATAAAACATATACAAAGAGTAGGCAAATAATCAAACACGGAGTTAGGGAATTCTTTTGGTTTTATTATAGGAAAAAAGAATTTTTATTCTATTTTCCGGGGAAAATAGCCAGGGATCACATGTTCCTCAACATTCCTCCTAGCCAGGAAAAATCCCAGGATCCCGGCCCTTAATGATAGCCCTGTTAATGCTTGGAGCTGGGTATCTCCTAACCACTTTGTAGTCAAGAAATATCATCACCCCTTGTCACTTCACACAGGTTATAATCACCAGTCGTAATAAATTTACTGACAGTCCTGGGGCCCCTGGTACTTTGAGAAATTTCAATTCTGCTATCCATTAACTGTATAATATAACCATATAATACATTGTGATATGAGAGGGAAGTGTTTTATACTATAACTGTGTGGGATATAAACCAAGTTGAAGTTAAACATAACGTAATCAGGGGAAACAACCTTTCCACACTGGCAGAACTTACAGAACTGTGGAGAAATTAAAACAACCCATAACTTTGGTTGTTTATAACTTTAAGCACAATGGTTCCAACATGAACAGTGAATATTATGTTGGGTGTGAACCTCTTTAGCGAGGCTATTATGTTTAGATTTCTGCTGTTATAATAATTACTCATCTGGCCATTGCTTGATGGTTTATTGTTCAAAATTTTGCTAGTTTTTCATACCGGATGTACTAGAGTGTTGGACGCTTGACCCTCAAGCTCATGAATCAAATGTTGTTTTGACAGTACTAAAGATGTAAAACAAATTTTTCAGTTAACAGAGGACTACAACATTACTTTGGGAACTGCTTTCTGAGTAGGGAATGGGAGTGGGGGTGAGGGCATTAGTTTGAAACTTCTCTCAATGCTTGTTAGACTGTCTGGTAACACACTGTATTGTTATTGTTGAAGAAAAGCAAACAAACTGTTTTGGCTCTAACTCAACCGCAAGTGTGAGTACATACCCATACAGCCAATGTGGGTGTTATAGTCAAACAGGATCAGTTGTGTTCAAAATACTAAACTTCAAAGATATAGCCTTCAAGTAACTCTTAAGTTTAAATTTCCAACAGAGATTATGTTGATGATAATGAAAATAATGTATAATACATGATTTTTATTAGAAATGTTATTTTAATCATTTTGTATTGTTTTAGTATTATGTTCTCCAGAATGTTTTCAACAAAGGGTCTGCCTAAAGGCTGTCTTTCCCTAGCAATAAGTCAGACTCATGATCAGAACCCACGGGGGGTACTCGCAATTTCAAGTGACGGGGATGATCGAATGGAGCCAAAAGTCAAGACCCAAAAAAATCCCTAGGGCTTCCAGAAAAACCCTAAAAAATACCCGGACCAAAAATTAACCACAAAAAAATCCCATGCCGATTTTGTGGCCCTTAAAAGTTCCAGAAAGGGGTAATGCTATAACACAAAGAAAAACATTGGAAATCTAAACAACAGCAAAACACGTTTGTTTGTACTTTATTCGCAGAACTACGCAGCCAGGGCACAACCGATTCTTTTTAATACCCCCAAAAAATCTCTACTCAAATCAAGCTACCCAAAAAAATACTTGCCAAATTTTTGTACCCAAAAAAATCCCGGAATCGAAAATTTCAAACCCAAAAAAATCCTTCGATCATCCCCGTAACTTGAAATCCCGAGTACCCCCCCCCCCCCCCCCCCAAAAAAAACCAACCAAAAAAAAAATTCACCAATTTTTTTAACCAAAAAAAACCCCGAAACGAAAAATTCCAACCCCAAAAAACCCCTCCCACACCCCCCTTACTTGAAATCCCCGGGTCCCCCCCCCCCCCCCCCCCTGGAGATCAGAATAACTTGCGATCAGGTGTTCTCTTTTTTTATTGGGGGGGGGGGGTGGGGTGGAGTGTAGGAGCACTTTTTTAATGTAAACAGTATTCCTATTCCGTTTTCACCTCCATCACTAACACTACAGTGAAGACCACAATAGGCTGTTGAAGTTGTGAACAGAGGCGGGAGAACACAATGAATAAAAAGTGCTGGAACAGGCATAATTGTGATTTGTTTATTCTTCCTGTTCTGCTCCTGGCTCAGTTCATCTGGTTTTCACTAGACAAAGAGACAGAGTTATTAGTGGACTCAGAAAGAAATAGATATATTCATATTCCTTCAACTCTGATTTCTTCATGCTTAATGATTCCACTTGACCCCATATTTTGATTTTCAATGGGTCATAAGCGCTCTCATGATTGCTTACAACTCACCCAGCCTTAAACTCAAAACATTACATGGTTGCAGTTGCATTCAAGTTTTCCCTTTGGTACTGACAATGCAGTTATAATAACATTATTTGCTAGGCTGCAGAAACCTCTCTTAGGATTAGAAGAAATAAGGCTATAATGCTAGTAGGCCTGTTACAAGATGTCAAAGGGGGGAGTATTGAGTTGCCTGGCCTCACTAAGGCTAGCAATTTGCTGAAATTAGTCTGAAATTTCACCTATCTCCACTCCCTAACCAATAGGGGTACAGGAAGATAGTGTATCTGTACCCCCCAGGGGAGGTTAGCGGGTGGAGACAGATGACATTTCAGACTAAGAATACATACAAACTCAGGAGTTACGAGTGTCTCACGCGATAGCACCTCATGAATAATCTTTCTGAACTTTATTTTGAATAAATCAGGTCACCTAAACAAGTCCTATGGCCCTGCCAATAAAAAAACCTCACTGACAAACAGATTCAGAGTAAAATGGTATTGTCAAATTATTAACACATCTTGTTTCTTTTAAATCTTTAACATTTAACAATAATAGTTTTTCATAAATATATTTTTTAACATCATATTCAGAGTACCTACAACCCTAAAGAAATATCTTAGCACTCAATTTTTTCACACTATTTTAGCTGTTGACCAGGGAGCATAGAGATTCAATGAACATCTAAAATAACATAAATACAATATACTGCTATCAAATGAATGTGTAATTGTTAAATCTGCATAATTTTTTCCTTCTCAATGGTGATATCCCCTTTTTTCTTGAGACAAAAGCAAACAAGAATAAAATTAATTAAATATCCATGATACCATTCTCAAGTTTAGCCCATAAATTTTAGCTGAGGTTTTAATTAAAATAGTCAAATAATAATAACCAACTAGGTTATGGTTTAAATATTTTAGTAAAACAGTAAAGTACCTCTATTTATCATAATTTATGCAACATTGCCAGTAGCTTAATATACTCTGTTTTTAAGACATTTTTTCCATAGATGCAAAACAATCAATTACCACTGAACAGCATACATGTAAAAATGTACAGCCCAATTTCATAGTCAATGACAAAATAATTACCTACATCCACCCACAATACAGTGTTTATAGATCTCACTTCTATCTAAATCTGAACAGTTTACAAGGGATCTGTGGGTGCCACATTATTATTTCCCTTGTGCAAATCAGTTAATCACACAGTCAAAAATGCTTGTGTCCATGCAACATGGGGTCTGCTTAATACAGGTATCACTGTGATCTTACTCAAAGTGCACTCACAGTTATTAGACTGCTGATGGCCAAGGAGTATACTTTTGCCTTTGCTGATCCAACAAAATAAGACTAGTGACTCCCAGTATTTCATTTCTGTGGATGACATAGTTTAGTTATACTTAAAAGAGCACTGGTCAACAATTTAAAAAGACCAAGAAGCCAATAAAATAAGGTCAGTGCAGTGTAAGACAAATCTTTTAAATTACGTGCACACTTCTGGGGGTTGAGGAAACAAGGAAGTAAATAAGTACAGATTTTAGTGTGATGACTATGAAGGCTCCTCCCTAAAATAGGAGAAGTTGGTCGGCAAACATCCTACAGGTCAGGTGGTGAGCTTAAGTCCTCTTCACAAGATAAACAAAGTTGGAAGTTCCGGCAGCTATGACTGGGTTGAGAGAATGCCTGTCATAATCAACAGTATACACAGCACGTGGCAAATCAACAAGGCGTCCAGTTGTCTACGGAAAGAAATAGACATTGAAGTGAACTGTTTTCATTTTTGGACCTATCATTAGGCACATATTTTAACCTGATGAACAAAAGTAGCTATAATTAAATAATATATTAGTTGGAAGAGGATAATAATGACAACAGCGATAATGATGACGATGACTGATGATGACGATGATGATGATGACAGCAATTACATGGTACACAATCACAATGATGACGACAATGATGATGATGATGATGATGATGATGATGAGATCATTATGGCCCACTAAGTTAGATTCCACTATCCAAATTCCCTTGTCCCCTTCTTCACATGTGAAGAATAATTAAAACAGACACTGTTGTACATATGCACTTTCAGCTTTTAACAACTGACCAGCAAACAGACTTTGCTTATGAACAACCAAAGGACTTACTTGAAGTGTGCTCTGATCAACACATCTCATCATGTTGTTGTCGCTACCACCTGCAATAATGTTATCTGGACCTTGCCACTGAGCACAGTACAGCTACAAAGAAATGGGAGGACATCATTAGAAAAGAGAAGCAGTTCCCAAGGTACACAGATTAGGTCATTTTCTGCACGTAGTTAAGGTGAATAAACACTCTCTTTAATACCTTAGTGAGCTTAAGAAAACACATTTTAAGTGACAAATGTCAACAAGAAGTGGACTTTTTGCATTCTTGGGCAGTGGTTTTGTCCAAATTTTCAGGCAAATCTTTTCTATAACCGTAAAGAATAACTTACCAATACACATTTTTAGTAGCTGTTCTTAAAGCATCTTAGGCATATAAAGAGGGAAAAGACCTCACAGCTATCTGACATGCATCGCTCAGAAACATCTTTGCTTAAAGGGGCATCGCACTATGCATAAATGGTCCATTTCCAATTGACTTTTAAGAAACCATGAACAGCAAATCTAGAAAATAAGCGAAGACATGATATGCACCCAGTTGTTAATTAACATACCATACTGCCATTGTAATCAGATGGCACGTTCTTTACGAGCTTCCCTGAACCATAGTCCCACATTTGAAGAGTGTTGTCTTTTCTCCATGAACCCGTAAGGATTTGCTGACTGGAACCAGACACACTTACTGACTGGATGTCGAGTGCGTCTCCACAGATGTGAGGTCCAAAGATCTTTCTAATAAGCAAAAAAAATAATATTAACCCATTAAGCTCCATGATCATAGTGGATCAATCTTTGCCTTCTTTCCCAATCATTGCGGATTCTTGCTCCCTCTCCTCCCTCCTTGCTGGGTGGTTTGTAGGACTGTATTTTCTCAGGTAAGTATCTCCACCGAATTTCATTCTGTGTGATGGTGCCGGTAAGTGGCCGCTCTTCAGGGATGGCTCCTACTTCCAGGGTTGCCATGGATACCTCCACTCTGCTCATTGCATTTGGCCTCCGACTAACCTTTAAGGCACTAATTGCTCCCAAGCTCATCATTAGCAATGTGTTTAATTCTCATAACCACTTCTCTTGATCATGAATAGAAATTGTTCAGAGAAAATTGATGTTGGTTTCACAAGACAGGTTGAATGACTAACAATGGCAAAAACAAACAAAACAAATAACATCAAAACACAAGTAGTTAGCATATTATATTTTTAATATCTTATAGTAAGTACCTCACACTGTGCTTGGTATCAACTCTTGTGTCCCAAAACTGTAAAACGAATTTAAAGCACCACGATTAATCTTAACAACCTTATCAATTTTAGCTAAATTTACTAGCAATATTTGATGCACATGGAAGACTTTTATTTCAAATGCTTAAAAAAGGGGAAAAGAAAAAGTTGTTTGAATTCTCAATATTATAATAATATCACTATCATTATCTGACATCCTCATCACAATCATTATAATTTATTATTATTTAAACTCGTGGTTATTTTTTCCAACCAGTTGAAATACTATTAATCAATGTATACAGGCGACATTTCTTAAGGTTGATTCACCATACAATTCAAGAAGGACAATAATTCTAAGACATATATTTAAAGTTTCAGGTACCAAGTAATCATCAGACTGCGCCACAGGATACTACAGTAGAAGAGGTTGTGCAGAACAATTATGCACTTGGAGACTACCCACATGTACATGTACTCAAATGAAGTTATCCACTGAATGATACTCTCCAGTGGCTGGTTTGTTTTATGTTTTCCAAGGTAATGATATTATTCTAATGTTTGCCAAGCAGCTTGACTATGACAATAACTATATACAAATATAGCAGCTATATAAACTCCTTTGTGGACATTCATATTTGTTTCTTATATTTTGTGCTTTCCAGAGCACTACCTCAGAGCTCGAAAAAAAACTTGAATTCCAAAGTTAGTTGCCCCAGAAGAAAATCTGCTCGTCCTGAACGACCGGATGGGACTTTTTTCAAGCCCTGTAACTAAAAGCAGGCATCAAGGAAGCATTACTAACCTGAACCGTATCATCCCAGCCTCCTGATAAGAATTCATGATCCTGGCCTGGGGTGAACTGCACACTGAATACACGGCTCATGTGACCATCCATCACTAGGTGTGATGAGCTGTTAAATATTGTAGTATGCAGTAAGTAATCAGGGTTCTCAATAAGTGCCAGCGGCTGGTGAAATTTGCCGGCTATTTCACATGAACACACCACCTACTTTTCTTTGGTAATTATTCCCCAAAAAGCAAAATTTTATTGATAACTGTGTTTTGTTCAAATATTCTAATTTTTGCTCCAGAATGCTGAAAACACACTCAAAGGGCGCTTTCCATTTGTCAGAACTGACCGGCCAGCCCATTCCCATCGTAATAAGAATTTAACTTTTAATCAAACCTAACCATCCACATCAGTCAAATCCTAAATATTATGCTCAAAGGAGATGGTTTTTCAGCAAAACCTCTTGAAATAAGCCAATTTCATTGTCAAAATGTCTGGTCCGACCATGGTCCGGCCGGCAGTGCTCGCAAAACGTGCCTGTGGAGCAAGTTTTTTCCTTCTCCCCCTACTCCAAAGCTTTTGTCACCTACTTAAAACCTTATTTAAAACCCTAAGTAATCAAATGTTTGTCCACCAGCTGATGAACACATTCAATGTGCAAAAAGATAATGAGAAAGCAAAACAGTTTGCTCATTAACCTTTAAACGCTAAATTTATATTCAAAATTCATATTCTCATTTGTTGTATCTATACATTTATTTTGGCAGTTAGAGGTTGTTAAAAGCATCAACAACATTCATCTTGTGCAATCATGTTCCTAATTCATGTCACCTATTTGTTTTATAGAGCATTGATATCATAGGGAGAACTTTGATGCTGATCACTTTTATGGCTTAAAGGGTAACCTTTTGAAATATTTAAAGAAACACTGATGCAGTACCTTGGTTGAAGGGTGTGGATAATTTGATTGGTTTTTTCATCATACACATTCAACTTTGTGTCTGATCCAGCAGTAACAAATCTGTCCCCAGATGGACTGAACGCACAGGCTAGGATTTGCTTGGAAGGTTCTGTCATTGTTCTCAAACAAGAACTCGTTGATATATGCCATAGTTTGATTTTACCATCAGCATCTACAGATAGCAAAGAGACAACATAGATGAACATACCACACTGTACAACCATTGAGGGGCTATGCCAAATATAATATGTGACCTCACTTTATTTACTGCGCTTTTCACAAACATGCAAATTCCAAGTTCAAAAGCCAACTGACCATTCCATTTTTCACTGCCGTCAATCATCTTAACAGACCTCTTAGGAAACAAAACTTTACTTTAACCGGTTCAAAAGGTCATGATTGTGATTTCTGATAGGTGGATTTCGATCCATTTTGTGAGTTTCTGTGTTTCAAGCTTCATTGCTTCTGATTGTAATTTTTATAATGGACGGCAGCAAAAAATGCAATTCTGAAGGCGGCTTTTGAACTTTAGAGTTCGCATGTTTGTGAAAAGCGCAGTAAGTGATACAGTTAACAATGATGATGATGATGATGATGAAAAAGACGATGATAATGTTGGTGATGATAATGATGACGCTGATTGAATGATGATGAAGTTGACAAGATGAGACGCTCACTTTATATTCAAATACTGTATCCTTGCATATTAGTCTGGGGGATTTTCAAGAAAAACTGGGGCAATCCCGACAAGGTCGGGATGGTGGTTGGACAATCCATAAAGGTCCACATGAGGATTAAACCCACACAGTTCCCCTTTGAAATCCTGCCAACTTAAAGCTAAAACCTCTATGGTACTACCTGAGAGCTCTCAACCCCGTGGTATACAAATAAATGTACATTATTACAGACTCTAGGGAAAACTGTAGGGGGCCCAAAGGCAGTAAACATATGAAATTCAGGGTGCCCGGTAAGCTATTCTAAGGAGCAAAGATTAAGAATTCTGACTGTCCTGCAAAGGCAAAGAAAGTCATGTTAGTGCACTCTGGAAGGGTTGGAGCACAATGTACCAGTTTTGTTTCATTAAAAAAAAAACAGTTGACCCTTAAGTATTGTTACAGTAACTAAAAGTGATGTTACACAAGACGATTCGCCAGAATGATTTTTAGCCCAACACAGCACTACAACATTGTTGCAACATTGTTTCGAATCCTTACAACATTGTTCCAACATTGCAACGCTGTGTTGCGCTAAAAATCGTTGTGAATCGTCCTATGTAACATCACCTTAAGGCTGCTTAAACTTTTGTTTCTTTTTTTAATGGAGGAGCAATTTTGATAGGAGCTGGCTCAGCACAGCTGAGAGGTCTATGATTGATTTCAAAAGAAAACAATTATACATGTATAGCTTTTGTTCAGCTGTGTATAATTTATTGATATTCTAATTTGCATGAGAATGAAAATTGGGTAATTTTTACTTGCATTAGCGAACAAAACAAATGTCCGAAACTGCGACTATTGTTTTGAAATGGTCAATGTAAACAGTGCACGATCATTTTAAGGATTAACATAAATGACAAACTGTTCCTTGCAATGTAGATTCATGAAAAAAAAAATCGCACTTCTCACGCTACACTTTACGCGCTTGTAGAGTGAGCAGCATACTATGGCCTGGTTAGAATGAAAACTCACAGGTTGCTAGCAAAATATTTCCNTACCAGTTTTGTTTCATTAAAAAAAAAACAGTTGACCCTTAAGTATTGTTACAGTAACTAAAAGTGATGTTACACAAGACGATTCGCCAGAATGATTTTTAGCCCAACACAGCACTACAACATTGTTGCAACATTGTTTCGAATCCTTACAACATTGTTCCAACATTGCAACGCTGTGTTGCGCTAAAAATCGTTGTGAATCGTCCTATGTAACATCACCTTAAGGCTGCTTAAACTTTTGTTTCTTTTTTTAATGGAGGAGCAATTTTGATAGGAGCTGGCTCAGCACAGCTGAGAGGTCTATGATTGATTTCAAAAGAAAACAATTATACATGTATAGCTTTTGTTCAGCTGTGTATAATTTATTGATATTCTAATTTGCATGAGAATGAAAATTGGGTAATTTTTACTTGCATTAGCGAACAAAACAAATGTCCGAAACTGCGACTATTGTTTTGAAATGGTCAATGTAAACAGTGCACGATCATTTTAAGGATTAACATAAATGACAAACTGTTCCTTGCAATGTAGATTCATGAAAAAAAAAATCGCACTTCTCACGCTACACTTTACGCGCTTGTAGAGTGAGCAGCATACTATGGCCTGGTTAGAATGAAAACTCACAGGTTGCTAGCAAAATATTTCCATAACTATCTGTATCTGTTCTCGACTTCCAGCGAAGACAAGTGACTGGGAGATGACTGTTAAGTGTATCTTGATCGGAAAGGCTGTAGACACAATGACCAGTATCAGGAGCATAAATCTGGAATAAAACACATAAAATGCTGGGATTTTTTCGCGTTGCATGTTGCTAAAATTTGAGCGACACAAAAGTTAGCATATCAGAGTCGTGAAATACATCTGCTTTATAACGAAGATTCACAATCAAGGGAGTAAAACATTTGATAGAATTTGTTATGAAAATACTAAAAAATACTTATCAATCGATGAAAAAATAGGATTGAGTGTTACAGCACCTTAGTAACGCCGTTCGCCAAGCCAACAGCAAGCAAACTGCCTTCGGGGTTGAATCGACAGCACATCACCTCGGAATTAGTCTCTCTGTGTTAAATAAATAACGATATCTTTAGAATGAGCAGAAATTAATAAAACAACAAAATTTAGTAGCCCTTCGACTGTTAGCACAATATTCAGCTAATGAAGCTCGAAAAATGACACGGACAAAGCTTACAAAATGTTCAAGATCTTGAGATTGCCCTCTGCAGCGGGAGCCATGGCCGGAGTAGGATCGACCACAACTTCGCGAGGTGTTGAAGTTGTCGACAGCGGAGCTTGAACCAAGTACATGGCTGGAAAATTATCTATTATGAAACATTTGCCCAGGTGTTTCAGCTGTCTAGCGTCCCATTGGAACAGGAGTAAAATAGCTGCCTAAAACGTCCAGACTGTCATCCCCAAAAAACGAGTAACTGATGCGCGTGCGCACAAGTTGAAGCGGGAAATGTAACCATGGCAACGAAATCGAAGTAGCCTAAAAATTCTACCGAAAAAACCCTCAAAATATCGGAATGGCAAAACAGAAAGCCACCAAAGAAGCAACATTTTAAAACACCAAAGCATGACCCTATCAACTCTTGTTCCTCCATGCCTAGCCTGTGCCAGCCGAGGCTCTCAGGGGGAAATCGCGAAAATAAAACAGGCAAAGCGAAAATAAGACGCGCGCGTCGTTGGGATGGGGGCGGTATTTTCGCATCATTACTTTAGTGAACTTACGCAACAGGACGGGAGAAGAAAGAAGACGGCAAACCTCTCGTGACAAACGTGACAATAACTTTGTCTGAAACAACTTTTCGCAAAACTTCACTTTCCTTTAAACAGATATTTTTGTAAAGGACCATGCAGAAAACACCGGTGTTAAGTAAAGATCACGACAAAACACTCAAGTAATAGCCCAGTCACGTTTGCCACAAACAGGTGTTTTGCCGTCCTCTTCCTCCTCCTATTAGGCTAATAGGGAGTTTACGCAACAGGACGGCAGGAAGAAGAGGACGGCAAAATGTTTGTGTGTGACAAATGACAGGGCTATAACTTGCATGTTATGTCGTGATCTTCACTCAGCATTAAAGTTTTCTGGTTTTTACAAAAAGATCTGTTTAAAGGAAAGTGATGGTTGGCGAAAAGTTAATTCGAACAAAATTACTGTCACGCTTGTCACACAAGGTTTGCCGTCTTCTTTCTATTCCCGTCCTGTTGCGTAAGTTCACTAATTTAGCAANGAATGGCAAAACAGAAAGCCACCAAAGAAGCAACATTTTAAAACACCAAAGCATGACCCTATCAACTCTTGTTCCTCCATGCCTAGCCTGTGCCAGCCGAGGCTCTCAGGGGGAAATCGCGAAAATAAAACAGGCAAAGCGAAAATAAGACGCGCGCGTCGTTGGGATGGGGGCGGTATTTTCGCATCATTACTTTAGTGAACTTACGCAACAGGACGGGAGAAGAAAGAAGACGGCAAACCTCTCGTGACAAACGTGACAATAACTTTGTCTGAAACAACTTTTCGCAAAACTTCACTTTCCTTTAAACAGATATTTTTGTAAAGGACCATGCAGAAAACACCGGTGTTAAGTAAAGATCACGACAAAACACTCAAGTAATAGCCCAGTCACGTTTGCCACAAACAGGTGTTTTGCCGTCCTCTTCCTCCTCCTATTAGGCTAATAGGGAGTTTACGCAACAGGACGGCAGGAAGAAGAGGACGGCAAAATGTTTGTGTGTGACAAATGACAGGGCTATAACTTGCATGTTATGTCGTGATCTTCACTCAGCATTAAAGTTTTCTGGTTTTTACAAAAAGATCTGTTTAAAGGAAAGTGATGGTTGGCGAAAAGTTAATTCGAACAAAATTACTGTCACGCTTGTCACACAAGGTTTGCCGTCTTCTTTCTATTCCCGTCCTGTTGCGTAAGTTCACTAATTTAGCAACAGAAGGGGAACGTCATAGCTCGCGGTAAAGACTAAACACGACTTCCGGCGCCCAATTTGCCGCTCTGCCATTGGTCAAGCCAGTTGTTTGATTTGCGCGCGCCGTCGTCAACTGACGTTCCCGTTCTGTTGCTAAATCAGCCTATTTATTACTATGCGACTGCACTTCTATAATTGGAGCCTGGAACAGACTACTCCCGGGCACTGGCCTCACGGCGCCCTCGGGTGAAAAGAGTGATGATGATGATGATGACGATGAAGATGACGATGACGATGATGATGACGATGATGACGATGATGATGATGATGATGATGATGATGATGATGATGATGATGATTAATCTCGTACCCAGATCTCACTCTGTTTTACACTTGGCCGTGGGAGATCTGGGTACGAGATTAGATGATTATGTTAAAGATAATGAATGTGATACCGGATGATACTCGTAATAACCTTTACTCTTTTCACATATTACTACTTATATAAGGATGGCCTGCGATATGCAAATGTGACACTAACCCCCCAGGGTTTGTAGACCATCTTCGGCTACGAAGTCGAGAGACTTTGCTGCCCGATATGAAAAGGATTGTCTTTAGCTCTTTTCTGCTGAAATGTCGAATGACATATCTCTCAACACATGCCACAATGCACGAGAAGAGAAATTTCGTACAGTCTTCAAGCGGCCATGAAATGTTTCATTAAGGGACTGGTCAAAAAGTATAGAGGGGGTGGGCCGGAGCAGAGAGGGGGTTGGTCATGAGGTTTTGAGCCTTGTGCAAGGGGTGGGTCGTGCAATTTTCAGCTACCCTTAGGGGGTGGGTCACCCTATTTTATAACATAGATAGGCACTAACTACTAACGAGACAGTTGACTACACTTGTTATATAAAACACAGCCAGCTGGAAATATTGCTAAAATACTCACAAACCTGTTGTGCGAGAAAATACAAAGGGTGACAGGCCGCACATCTATATACGGGCGTGGAACCCTCTGTTAACGTCTTTTTTTTTTTTGGCTCTAACGAGCGTGTCCTTTGATGATTTTCCTTTTTTGTAACTATGATTGGTGGTTCTTTAAAAATTTATTGAAGTTATAGTTGGTTTTGTATAAGAGTCCATTTTTTCATTCAAGCTTCCTTCATAGTAGACACTAAGGGCTGGAATTGTGTCACGAATGGGAGTATTTCTTTTTCCTCCTTGTTGTTTTTTTTAGGGGTTTAGAGTCCCTTTTGTGAATTTTATTTCTGATAGTAGGTTTTCCATCAAAGATTGTGGATAGCCTCCGTCCATCAAGCGTTTTTTTAATTTGAATTATTTTCCTCAAAGGTTGTTTCTGAGGAGTTTTTTCGTAGGATTTTCAAGGCTTCTCCTTGAACAAATCCTTTTTTAACATTTGGAAGGTGAGACGAGGTGAAATGTGTGTGCAAGAAGTTTTCCGTTTGTTTAAATGTGTCTTTGCGTTAAGGATAGATTTTTCCTTGAATCTTGTGCCTTTGTATACGACCGTGTCTAAAAGCGCAGTCTCAGTGTCAAATTTTTCGGCCGTGAATTCAATAGTTGGGTGATGTAAGTTTGCTTGTTCAATGAAGGCTTTGATTTCTGGTTCTCTCATGTCCCATAGGGAAAAGCTATCGTGTATGTAGCATTTCCAAACTGTTGTTCTAAAGACAGTTTTGCTTAGAGTAGTTGTTTCAATATGTCGTGACAATATTGGCAAAGGAATCAAAACTGCTGTCTTTGTGCCCATTGCAGTTCCATGGTTTTGTAGGTAGTGCTTTCCATTGAAGTGGAAGAAATTTTCTTTGAGGATTAATCTAACCATTTCCGGCAAGTCATGTGTAGGGATGGGTTGTCTTTGTAGAAATTTTCATATGCTTTGTGACAGACAATTTCAATAAACCCTCGTTTTGCTGTATATTTGTGACAAGACTCATAACGTCCATCGAAACAAGAAATGTTCAGTTTTTCACGTTCGTGTTTTCAGTAAAAGGTATGATTTCTGTGATTTTGATATTGGTTGTGGCACTGTATCAACAAAGTTTGTCAAGCACAAAACAAGGTTTTATTGGACTATTAAGAGGAAACCAAACATCCATGTTTTAATTAGGGGGTGGGTCATGCAATTTCCAGCCTTGCTTTAGGGGTGGGTCAGTCATTTTTGTGCCGAAGGGAGGGGGTGGGTCATGTGTTTTTTATCAACCACATTTCCAAATGCTCCGGAAAAGCCCCCGCCCCCCCCCCCCCCCCCCTATACTTTTTGACCAGTCCTTAATTTTATTATACAACCATCAGTGAAACGCCAAACCATTTTACTGAAAAAGAAAAGCGCGATTTATTACGTAACCATACAAACGGTCATCTTTTCTCATGTGAAGATAAGAGTGTCGATATTTCTTCTTTTCTTGTATTCTTCTTGTGGCTTTAAAATGCACGCTATTTCAACTGCTCACTCACTAATAAATTTCAAGAAAAACAACAACAAAAATAGGAAACGTTTGTAGGCAAGCTATTTTTAGACGGTGCAAAGTGCCGTTTTTTCCGTAAGATAGTCGAGATCGAGCGCTTTGCGTTGAGGGCGACCATCTTGGCCCCCTCAGTAACCTATTCGGTGCATAAGAAACCAAGATGGCCGCCCGTACATAGCAAATGCTGGCTACAAAAAACACTCGGATTCATGGTTTCAAGGCGAAATATGCTTGCATTAAACATGAGATACTAGGCCGAAAAACTGTTTGAATGCAGAGGTCCACGCAACGCGTAAAAATAATGGCCTGCAATAAATCAGCCCTCTGCCGTGGTGCCAGCCCTACATTCAGTTTTGTTTTATGAGCTACTAGTTACGGGGCCGACTGAGTGATGATCCTATTTGGACCGACAGAGGTTCAGGTGCTCGTATGGACGGCTCCCTTTGGCAAGTCGAAAATGGAGAGTCACCCCGGGTTGGTTTGGCGGGTTTTTTGAAGCACATTCCAACTACATGAGACCCGATTCTCTAGCTTATGTTCATTGTAACAACTTTAATTAAGCTAAAACGAGTTGAGACACTTTAATAAAATGGCACCCTTCTTGCATAGTAGACATCTCTATCCGCTCATTCTTTGTACCCCTATACCATCTCTCCGAAATTAATGTTTTATTTTAAACCCCCAAGCCTTTCCTTACTGAGTACAAACAACAAAATTGATTCAGGGGTGGGGGAATTGGCAGCCTTTAAACAGGGTTGTATAAGAAATGAAATAAATTTTTGATGAAAGAGCGAGGTTTAGACAATCTATTGTGTCCGCTACTTTTGTCTCTGATAGACCTATTCGGCTAACTCAATGTTGTATATTTTGTGGTTTCATTTTATCCTTGGTTTAAAT